CAATGAATAATGAATGCTGAGATGTTAGATGAAAGTTCAAAGTAGAAGACAAAGAAAGGAAAATAAGAAGTTACACGTGAAGAAATACAGGCCCCAAAATAACTCTATCGGCTGCTGCTGGATTAATCTTCTCTGTATTTATGCAGAGCTAATGTGTTTTACTAGCACCAGACAATTTTATTTTGTTTTAGATAGAAATGGAAAGGCTGAATTTCTGTCTAGTTATTATTTGTGTCTGTGACCTCATTGGGGAGACTTTCCCTGACTTCCTGTTCCCGTGATGCCTCTGCAAGAACCTGAGTGGGGGGGTTCACCATAACAGGAAGGCACAGATAGCAATAACCCAATTAGGGCTTTTTTACTAGAGATTGGGGGGCAGTAAAACCCTGCGTTTAAGCTTAAGCTGCACTTTTATTACCCCACAACCACTACATCCTTTAGCTGCAGAGGCAACAACAACAGCAATAATTATACCCCCTCTTGCTCTTGGTGGGCATTGTGCCCGCCAAACATGGTAATTGGGGCTGCTCTGCAAGTGCCCTACAACTATGTGCAATGCACACAACTGTGGTATGCTATTGAAGGGATCAATGGGTTAAAGCAGGCAGAAAGGAAGAGGTAATTTGCCTTCTTCCTGCTTGTCAAATGCTCTCTGAAAAGCGTATGAAGAGCATAGCGTATTTCCACCCCTTTTCTGCTGTGAGGAAATAGCTGTTTGTTTCACCATGTCCTATGCAGACTGATTCTGAATGGGAGGGTCTGGTTCAATATAATCATCTGATGCACTCTCAGTGTTCTGATGAGGAAAGTTGCAGTGTCTGCATCACTCTAGAAATATTTAATCCTTGAGGAGTATTACATCAAAACTGAAATTCTTATTGAAGGTGATGCCTTAAATCTGATTTGTATCCTAATGCAGATGTCTGGGAAAATCAGTGAGCCAATCACACAAGCAGGAAATGAAATTTCTAGGGGGTGTCCTGTACACAAACAGTGTAAAGAATGCCTCCAGGTTGCCGTATTGTACTGAATTTTCTAAAAAAAAAATAACAGTGGCTGTAGACTGAAAAGGAAACGTAATGTTTAGTAAAATTACATTACAATAGGTTTTGTCTACCACATGCATATGCTAGATTACTTTTTTATCTGCAATATTTCTTCCATGAAAGTGGAGTTACCATTTAAATTCGTATTAAAACCAAAACCAAAAATGTATTTTATTGCAGCTTACCAATCCTTAGATGTGGTGGCTGCATTAGTTTTCTTTGCTTTTTCCCTCTGTTTTAATCTGGTGATCTGGCCAATAACATACCTCCAGTATTACTAAGACACCACTCTGGATGAATAATCACAAGAGGCACAACAGACAGCAACATTGTCAGTCGGGGAGGGGGGGGTGTTAAATGTATTAGCAGATTTAAATAAACTAACAAATTTGAAGCCTTTGAAGCCGAACTCCAGATCACACTTTATAATCAGTTACAGAAAACAGTGTTTTCCTTTTGAGATAAAGGTTTTACATGAATAAATGAACCTGATAATTTTAAGCACCCCTGCCATTGTAAATGGTTTGTTTCATCTATGTAAACTGATACAATCTGCTGGAGAGCTTGTGCTTTTGAAATACAACAGACTTGCTGACTGGATCACCAGATGAAAATAGAAGAAAGAAAAAAGAAAAAACAAACAAACTGATACAATCATTACATTTAAGAATTGGTAAGCTGCAGTACAAGCTGTGTCTAATTAGTTTTGTGAATGCTCCAATATCTCAATGGCAACATGAGCCAGGTTCTCACGCATGCACATGGCTTTTCAGAGAAAAGTTAGGAAGTACCACCTAGCATGGAGTACACATGACCATCAGGGTAAGGTCATTGCGGGCAGTCAAACGTAGTCAGTGGGAGATGTAGGGTCATGCAATGGAGCAAAGAGTGAACATCAAGTTCTCCTACAAATTGGGGAATATGACGATGGAGATGCTTGAAATGTTGATGCAAGTGTATAGAACCGAAGCCATAAGCAGAAAATGTGTTTAGAAATGGTTCAAACACTTTTGCAACAGGAAGGAAACAACTGAGGATGAGCCAAGTTTGGGCCACAGAACCCTAGACATGATTGAGCGAGTGTGACAAATGCTGGCACGAGATAGGCAACTGACTCTACGAATGATAGCGAAGCAATTGGGCATTAGCAAGGACATAGCGAGCACCATTGTTCGCAAAGATTTGGGTAAGAGGAAGATTTGTTCCCGGTTTGTGCCACACAAGCTGGCATATGAACAGAAAGCAAAACGGATGGAAACCTCTGAAGATTTCATTACCATGTGTGACCAGTATCCATCCTTTCTGTGAACCATCATCACATAGGATGAGACCTGGTGCTATCAGTTCGATCCGGAAACCAAGCGGCAATTCACCATCTTCCCTGGGACCCAAAAAGAATCACCTGAAAAAGTCCACAGTCAAGCATCATGAAAAGTGCACGTTGGGACGTGGGGACAATCCAAAAATGTGTGACAGCAATTCTACAATCGATTCCTAAAAAAGCCATTGCTGACAGTTTCCAGAAACTTTATGAATGTTGCCAAAAGTGTGTTGCACAGGATGGTGATTATTTTTGAAGGCCAATAAAGGTAATTTGTTTGTATCTTCTGTTTTATTTGTTTTTTGATACCACTCACCAAAACTTTTAGACACATCTTGTATAATAAATGTTTACCTTTGGGTTTAATACCACTTTAAGTCCTTGTTGGGTTACAGTCAATCTGTTTAGGTTACATAATTCAACATAAATACCCAAGGACACCCAAGAACATTGCAAGCATATCCTGTAAAGCTACTGACAGGAATGGACTCAGCACTGGTGGTGGGACTCACCTGCCTTGTGGGCTGCAGTACCAGGGCTGACCGGCGGGTGCTCTCAGCAGCCAGAAGCTCACTTCTGCAGTCAGCCAACACCTGGGGCTGATTAGGGCAGGTGTATTTAAGGAATGACCAGGCCTGTGATCTGTGCCTTGGTGTAAATGTTTCCCATGAGCCCTTGTAGCCTGTATCTTGTTCCTGTCCTGTAAGTACGTTTCCTTGTTGCCAAACTCTGCCTGTTCTGATTTACACTGACCCTCTCCTGCTCTGACCCCGGCTCGTTCCTGACCATCCTTCTGCCTGCCCCTCGGTACCACGCTGCCCGCTACCTGCTGAACCTGGCTTGTGACCCCGACCATTCTCCGCTTGCTCCCCCTGTACCACGCTGCCCGCACGATACTGACCCGGCTAGTCTGACCTCGCTCACTCCTAACAGTCGCCCATCCATCCCGCTCGGATCGGGATCTGTCATCCCATCCATCCCGCTCGGATCGGGATCTGTCATCCCCTTCACAGCAGGCTCATCCCGGGCACATACCCTCAGCGGGACCCCTCTGCCACCGCCGGGGGTGCCCAGGAACGCGACCTGGTTTCAGTCTTGCACCAAGTCCATCCCCACCATCAGGGGCCCTGGTGAAAAGGCAGACTGGGACTTAGACTCCGCGTCCTGGGAAACCCTGTGCTGTGGACCACCAGAGATCCTGTTGGGCGGAGCCTGACAGTACCTTGCGGCCTGCCTGACCATTCCACCTCTCCAGCCCTGACTACGCCTGTGTTCTTGAAGCCTGCTACTTCCCTGTGTCAGTCCACACATTTCTGGTCACACCCGGATCCCTAACAGCTACCTTTAGTGGTGGCTGTTAGAGGTAAAGAAAGTGGAAGCTTCAGCCAGTGAACTAGAACAAGTACTTTTGCTATATACTGTATATACATGTTATGTTAGGTTCACAATGTGGTACTGGATTTTATGAGTAGCTGGTGCTACAGGTCAAGGGACAAAGAGGAAAGGAAAGCAGAAAGCCCTTCTGTAATTGTGTAAGAACAGATAGCAGCTCGTACATTTTAGTTTCTGCTGGGGAACTCTTTAAAATTTAATTTCTGGAAATAAGGAGTTGAAAACAAGCTAACAAAATACTTTAATGCATGTCTATGGGGTTAAACAAAGCTGGAAGGTTTATCAAATGTGGAAAAAAAAATTAATTACAGGCCACCAAAGATAAATTTAAACAAGATAATTTTCTCCATTGCTTATGCGAATAATTTAAGTCTGATCTTAGATTGTGGTTTTCCTGTTATTTATGGAAAATCAGATAAAGGAATCCAGAAAACACAGCGTATTCTGTAAATGGCACATTCCTAAAGAATGTGAACAGAACAGCATATTTAATGTTGAGGTTCCATCACAAGCTCTCATGATTGAACTGAGACCCGGACACAGCTATGTTCCCACACTTTTCACAGACCAGTACAAGTGTAGGAATTATTCACAAGGATGAGTGGGTTTTACATTGTTTATATTGAGCATTGTGTTTCAAAGGGGAGCTATCAATTCTGTCATACTGAAATCGATGATCAGTTATAGAATATCCAATATGCATTTTTTTGGGACAGTGTATTCTTCTATGCTTGTACATGGTCTTGAAGCCTACAATAGTCCAATAAGGTATGTACAACAATGAACAGAATATGTAGACATGGACATTGTGTGGACATATAGAAGAGAAATGGTTTACCGTAAAAACAACTTTATTATGTACCAATAAAAATCTATTACACAACATTAAAAATTACTCTCCACATATGGGTTTACAGCATGCAAAGATTCCAACTACAGTTCACATGTGGACTCGACGTGTTTCAGGAATCCTTCTTATGGAGCACACTTCTTCAGAATCAGAACACTGGAACCCACTCCTATTCTTTAATATAGTAATATCAGCCAGTAGGGTAGACTGGAATTCACAAATGAGTAAGCCAGCCAGCCAACAGTCTTGTAGACATAATCTTAAAATAGAAGGACCTACTTCCCAATTGGAAAGCATCCAGACCCAATGTAAATAAATCTCCATAAAGGCAGCATAGTAGTGAAAGTAGTCAAGGCACACACACTATATTGCCAAAAGTATTGCAGACTGCATTTGTGAAAGAATGGGTCACTCTCAGGAGCTCAGTGAATTCAAGCGTGGTACCGTGATAGGTTGCCACATTTGCAATAAGTCCATCCGTGAAATTCCCTTGCTACTAAATATTCCCCGGTCAACTGTTAGTGGTATTATAACAAAGTGGAAGCAACTGGGAACAACAGCAACTCAGCCACAAAGTGGTAGGCCACATAAAATGACAGAGTGGAATCAGCACATGCTGAAGCGCACAGTGCGCAGAAGTCGCCAACTGTCTGCAAAGTCAATAGCTAAAGACCTCCAAACTTCGTGTGTCCTTACGATTAGCACAACAACTTTGCATAGAGAGCTTCATGGAATGGGTTTCCATGGCCAAGCAGCTGCATCCAAGCCTTACATCACCAAGTGCAATGCAAAGCGTTGAATGCAGTGGTGTAAATCACGCCGCCACTGGACTCTGTCTGGCAACTTGATGGACGTGTTTGGGTTTGGCGGTTGCCAGGAGAACGGTACGGTACTGACTGCATTGTGCCAAGTATAAAGTTTGGTGGAGGGATGATTATGGTGTGGAGTTGTTTTTCAGGGGTTGGGCTTGGCCAGTGAAGGGAGCTCTAAAAGCATAAGCATTCCAAGATGTTTTGGACAATTTCATGCTCCCAACTTTGTGGGAAGAGTTTGGGAATGGCCCCTTCCTGTTCCAACATGACTGCACACCAGTGCACAAAGCAAGGTCCATAAAGACATAGATGAGTGAGTTTGGGGTGGAGGAACTTGACTGGCCTGCACAGAGTCCTGACCTCAACACCTTTGAGATGAATTAGAGCGGAGACTGTGAGCCAGGCCTTCTCGTCCGACATCAGTGCCTGACCTCACAAATGCGCTTCTGGAAGAATGGTCAAACATTCCCATAGACACACTCCTAAACCTTGGACAGCCTTCCCAGAAGGGGTTAAGCTGTTATAGCTGCAAAGGGTGGGCCAACTCAATATTGAACCCTACGGACTGGTATGCCATTAAAGTTCATGTGCGCGTAAAGGCAGGCGTCCCAATACTTTTTGCAATATAGTGTATACAGTAAGTCCCTGACTTACGAACGAGTTCCATTCCGGGAGAATGTTCGTAAATCAGATTAGCTCCTAAGTCTGACAAAGTGAGTCTTTGACACAAATATAGAATGTAAAGCATAAAAAAACCAAACACACACAAAAAATACTGTAAATAAACCATTTTTACTTTTACAGTTAATGTAAAATGGTGGTACAGTACAGTACAACTGTAAATAAACTGTTTTTGCTTTTACGGTTACCTTGAAGTGGTGGTACAGTACAGTACAGTACCACAACTGGCATATGGTGGAAGAGAGTTACTAACTGAAGGAGGCAGGGTTGGTGGGAGACCAAGTCCAATCTTTAACAAACTCGTGCAGACTCCACCTCCGCAACATCGCCAAAATCCTCACGTTCCTAACCCCAGAAACCACTAAACAGCTCATCCACTCCCTCATCATATCACGACTCGACTACTGCAACTCCCTCCTCACTGGCCTGCCTCGCCGCTGGCTATCCCCGCTTCAGTCGATCCTGAATACGGCTGCCAGACTCATTCACCTTTCCAACCGCTCTGTCTCCGCCACCCCCCTCTGCCAATCCCTCCACTGGCTTCCGATTGCGCAACGGATCAAATTCAAAATCCTAACGCTGACGTACAAAGCTGTCCACCATACTGCCCCGAACTACATCACTGACCTAATATCCAAGTACCGCCCAGCACGCACACTCCGCTCCTCACAAGACCTCCTTCTCTCTAGTTCCCTGGTCTCCTCCTCCCATGCCCGCCTCCAGGACTTCTCCAGGGTGTCACCCATCCTCTGGAACTCCCTGCCCCAACCCATCAGATTATCACCTACTCTCCTCTCCTTTAGGCGCACCCTGAAAACCCATCTCTTCAGGGAAGCCTACCCCACCCCCTGCTAACTTGCCGACCTCCTCCACTCTTCCTACCACTCCATCCCCCACAGCTATCTCCTCCTGTGCCACCACCCCCTCCCTCCTAGATTGTAAGCTCGAAAGAGCAGGGCCCTCGATCCCCTCATGTTTTGCATTGTTCTGTCACATGTTCTGTCCCCCTTTGTAATGTACAGCGCTGAGCGAACTATTGGCGCTTTATAAATACTGTATAATAATAATAATAGATGATGGAGCTGAAGGATTATCAGCAATAGGAGATAGAGGGCAAGATGGAATTTGGCCCACACTTGATGCTGACGGAGCTGAAGGATCATCAGCAATAGGAGATGGGGGCAAAATGGAATTTGACCCACACCTGATGTTGACGGAGCTGAAGGATCATCAGCAATAGGAGATGGAGGGCAAGATGGAATTTGGCCTGATTTGGAGCTGAAGGATCATCAGAAATCGGAGATGTTTGGCCGGTTGATGGAGCTAAGGATCATCAGAAATCGGAGATGGAGGGCAAGATGGAATTTGGCCACACACCTGATGTTGATGGAGCTGAAGGATCATCAGCAATAGGAGATGGAGGACAAAATGGAATTTGGCCCAAACCTGATGTTGATGGAGCTGAAGGATTATCAGCAATAGGAAATGGATGGCAAGATGGAATCTGACCCACATCTGATGTTGATGAAGCTGAAGGATCATCAGTAATAGGAGATGGAGGACAAGATGGAATTTGGCTCACACCTGATGTTGATGGAGCTGAAGGATCATCAGCAATAGGAGATGGAGGACAAGATGGAATTTGGCCCACACCTGATGTTGATGGAGCTAAAGGATCATCAGCTATAGGAGATGGAGGGCAAGATGGAATTTGGCCCAAACCTGATGTTGATGGAGCTGAAGGATTATCAGCAATAGGAAATGGAGGGCAAGATGGAATCTGACCCACATCTGATGTTGATGAAGCTGAAGGATCATCAGTAATAGGAGATGGAGGGCAAGATGGAATTTCACTCACACCTGATGTTGATGACACAGGTTTTTTGATGGATTATATTCTGTCAACCCTCTAGAAAAAAATGATCCAGTGATGTCTGAGTAGTAGCTCTTTTTTTCTCATCATACATGACTCTGTAGCACTGGATGGTATTCTGAACGGCTACTGCAACCTTTGTGTATCGTTCTACGTTGGGGTCCTGTGCCTCGAAAAATAACAGTGCCTCTTCAAGTAAAGAAAATCCTCTTGCCATTTCCTGTGTTGTGAATCTCTTTGGTTCTTCAGTTACATATTCCACTTGGCTCTCTTCATCTTTTTGCTGGGCCTCTTATTCCATTAGGTCCTCATTAGTAAGCTCTTCATGTTGCACAGCAAGGAGTTCAATGAAATCCTCCTCTTGCAGATTTAGCTCCAGCTTTGTGCTAAGGGTCACTAAGTTGTTGAAGACCTCTTTACCCATCTTCATAAGTCCATGAACTTCATGAACAAACTGAGGACAAGGGTTCTTCCAAACCCCATTTATGGTGACAGCCGAAACCTCATGCCAAGCAAAGTTGATGTTTTTCATGGCCTTGTAGATGTTATAGTCCTTCCAAAATTGTCATAAGGATGCTCCTGCTTCATTATTAGCCTTCACTGCCTGACAATAAGTCACAATAACTCCTTGGTCCATAGGTTGGATGAGCACCATAGTATTCAATGGCAGATGCACTACTCTGATGTTGGGATGAAAGTCATCCATGAATTGGCAGTGACCTGGTGCATTGTCAAGCAGCAAAAGAATGTTGAATGGGATATCTTTCTCCAACAATATTTCTCTATCTCTGGGTTAAAGTGGTGGAAAAACCAGTCCTGGAAAATGGCCTGTGTAACCCAGGCTTTTGAGTTACTCTTCCACATAACAGGTAGAGAGACCTTGGCTATGTTTTTGAGGGCTCTTGGGTTCTCTGAATGGTAAACTAAGAGAGGTTTTAGTTTCATATCACCGGAAGCATTGCCACCAAACAACAGAGTAAGTCTGTCCTTTGCTGCTTTGAAGCCTGGCATCACCTTTTACTCTTTTCATTCTGGCATCCTCTTCCAGTACAGTCCTGTCTCATCGACGTTAAAAGTGTTGCTGAAAATTCTTGGGAAGCTATGGTATCTGCACTCGCAGCCTCACCATTTACTTTTACGTTGTGAAGGTTGTCTAGCATTGAATCTGTTAAACCATCCATGGCTGGCAGTAAAAGATGCACACTGTTCACCCCATTTTTTCTTCAAATCTTTAAACGGGCTTTTAGCTTTTTCTTGAATAAGCATTAAGCTGAGTGGGACTTGACACTGATGCTGATCCTGCATCCACACACTGAGGAGTTTCTCCATTTCCTCTGTCACTTTACCATTCTTTTTGGATATTATTGTTGACTTTATAGGCACAGTAGACCTCACATGTTCCATGATCTTGTCCTTGTTCTTTAGAATTGTGCCAGTGGTTGAACGATATGTTATAAGAACTCGCCTCGGTCCAATTTCTCAATTATTTTCACTTTTGTTTTCATGGTTATTGCTTTGCGCTTCGTAGCAGTCCCCTCCACATCACCACTGCTTTTACTCTTCCGCCTGGACAACCTGGGCTCTGTACAGTATACTATCGCACTGTACAGTAAACACACAGCAGCACAACTGTGGCAATGTGCAACTGTGATAATGTCTGGCAGGAGCTACTTCTGTGATTTGTTCACATCTACGAATGTTCATAATGCGAGGTCCGTTTGTATCTGTGAAAGTTTGCAACTCGAATGTTCGTAAGTCAGGGACTTACTGTTTTCCAAAGAAGAGGCTCTTAATAAGTTTCTTAGAATCATATTCAGATCAATCCACTAAGGTAAGTTTCCAATTTTCTTCCTGCCAGAAATTACATTTATTCAAACTTGCCAATAAGGGCTTGAACTTTACTGTGTTTATTTGATTCAATGTTATTCAATGTGCAGATGTTATCCATGTGTCTAGATCATTGGGTTAGAACAACCTATATCAGTCAATTAACATTTTTTCTAAGGCCCTTACTAGTGGTACTCCTGAATAAAAATTAAAATGTTGGTAGCATCTATCCTTAATACATCATTACTGCCATGTTTAGCATTTTCTTATCTCAGAAAGGCTACCCCAATCTATTTTGAGAGATCAGTATCAAATTGAAAGCTAAAGAGACATGGATGTCGAAAAACAACAGCACAAGCACTTCTTTTCTTCAGTCTTTGGGAACAGAAATAGACATGTGCAGTTCTTTTTGTTCCAAATCGAAATTCGGATGAAATTTTCATTATTTGGAGGTTCGGATGTATCTGAATTTCTGAATTACAGTAGTGTTTAAATGACTCCGAAATTATTAAACAAAATTTCATCCAAAATTCAAATTGGATGCAAATAGAATTTGAACTGAATTCCAAAACAAATGCAAAATATAAACATATTGCTAACCAATGCTGATTTCCTTCAAAGACTGTGTATTAGTGCTAGAATATATCCATCTTCCGAAATTCAAATTTAGAAAAGAACAGAATAGAATAAAACAGAATTGAATAGAAAATAATAACATAGAAAATAAAAGAATAGAACAGAATAGAATAAAAAAGAATAGACTAGAATATGATAGAGTAGCAAAATAGGCTAGAACAGAATAGAATTAAATAGAAAGAATATAGCCATATTCCGAAATTCTAATTTTAAAATAAATAGAGTAAAACAGGATGAAATAGAAAAGAATATAGTAAAACAAGATAAAATAGAACAGAAAAGAATAGACTAAAAAAGAAATAAAAAATAAAGGAATAGAATAGACTATAATAGAAAAATCAAGAATACAATAAAATAGAATAGAAAATAAAGGAATAGAACAAAAACTAATAGAATACAAAAGAATAGAATAGAAAATAAAAGATTAGAATAGAAAAAGTAGAAAAGCTTAGAATAGAATAAAATAGGAAGAAATTTGCCATATTACGAAATTTTTATTTTAAAAAGAATAGAATATAATAAAACAGAACAGAAAAGAACAGAATACAAAAAAAAAAAAATTGAATAGAATAAAATAGAATAGAAAATAAAGAAATAGAATAGAAAAGAATAAAACAGAGAATACGGTATAACCGTCTTCTGAAATTTGGATTTTGAATGGAATAGAATTTGCTATTCTCAATGAATTTGGATCAATTCAATGTTTTCGATGCAAATTTGTTTTGAATTTGATTGAATACTTTGAATCCATTGGAAATCAATCCGATTTGGAGGGGGATTTGGTGTTGCCACAACTGTGTTGCTGACTGTTCTCCTGAGAGCTTGCCGGAGATGAGGCAGTACCTGAGGATCTGCAGTGCAAGTATCTCCCTGCTGCTGCTTCATCCATTCTGTAAGTATGATATCCTCTTCTTCTGATTCTTTAATATTTCCCCACCAGTCAACAGACCCAAAGTCATCACAGGGGCAGCTCTGACATGAAGAAGGGAAGCACTGCCACAACCAAGATGTCTGTCTCCACAAAGAAACGAGGTTCAAAATAAAGCATGGAATGTCTGTAATGGGGAAAATTGGAAAAAGGAGAGACCCTTTGACACTGGGGCCCAGTGTCAAGGGGTCTCTCCTTTTTCCAATTTTTATATTGGGGATGTTGGCTTATAATCCGGAATTTTCCCCTTCTTTTCTCGTAATGGGGAAAATGGTCATCTGCAGGGAACCTACAGGCAGTGCTGGTGTCTAGTCTTCTGCCCTCTGATTAGATTTTTTTGACACTGCTTTCACAGTTCATGTCCTCTTTAATACGGTTCTAAAAGCTCAAAGTTTTTTACCTTCATATATTCTATGCATGAAGGTAAATAACCTTCTGTGTGCAGCGTCCCTCCCCCCAGTCCCCCCCGATCCTTATCTGAGCCCGCTCAGATCCAGCGACATTCATGATAGCCTCTGCTGTCTGGGGAATCTTCCTCCTCATTTGCTGAGACAGCAGCGATAGCCCATTGGCTCCCACTGCTGTCAATCACAGACAGCGAGCCAATGAGGAGAGAGCAGGGGTGGGGCCATAAGTTTCTTATGGATGCATAGAGCAGTGGATCAGGGAGGAGCATGTAGGGGTGCCACCTGGGTAGGCAGCTTTCCCTGGGGGCACTGCTCGAGAAGGAGAAGCCAGGAGAACCGGCAGGGACCTGAAAAGAAGAGGATGGGGGCTGCTCTGTGCAAAACCACTGCACAGGTAAGTATGACATGTTTGTCATTTAAAAAAACAAGCTTTTGTGTCACTTTTTAAGGCATCCTAGCTGGCCCTTAAGGCAGCTAAAACTGCATATGATAATACTGACCGAGAGGCCACTCTAGCATGCCTTAAGTATACTTTAAAATGCCTAGAGTGTTCCTACGGCATAATGAATTGGGGCTAAACAGTCTCTTGTATATACTGCAGGTCCTGTCGATGCTGAGCGTCTTTTCATTACTTTTATGTACTGCAAAGAGAAATGAAGCAGTTACATTTTTTTAACCACTGAGAAAGCTTCTATATGATCCCAGCCTATTTTCATTGTCAACAAAAAAAGAAATTTCAATTTCCAAAACTCTGAACCCCGAGCAACAGTCCCAGAAAGAGGTCACCGTTCTGTGGAAATCATGATGTCACTGGGCCCCGCAATCCTCGATCCTCAGTCGTATATTTCTAACAACTTCTGCCAACTTACTCACCTGCAGAAATAGACTTTCATAAAGGCAGCTGGCAGAGGGATGAATTGCTTTAGTTGCTCTCTCAAGTTACTGCAAAGCCTAGATTCGAGTCATGCCAGACCACTTAGCTTGGACACAGAGCCATTAATCGTGTAGGAAAATAGAACAACATGCCGCCAGGTGTAAATGGAAATTCTTTCATTAAAGGGAAATGGTTATTCAGTGCAAAATGCATTTTAACTTTGTAAGGTATTTGTGCCGGCTCATAACTCTTCCCATGTAGGGTGTATTAGACGCATTCTGCTTAATAATTGCTGTTTGATCGCTTTCTTTTCTTCTCTTCCCAATTTACTATTCTCTATAAGATAATAAAAAGATAAGGGTAGATTTAAAGTGTTACTAAACCCACAACAGTAAAATCAGTCTGTATATACAGTAAAGCATGCTTGTTATACTCACTGTGGAACCTAAGGGGTTAATCCTCTGCCTTGTGTAAAAAAGGCTGCTTGATCCTGTCTTCTTTCATCCTCCTCTTCTTCTACTGTCCCAAATACATCTGCTGACAGTACAGAACTATAAGAGACACTCTGTACATGCTCAGTTTGGTGTGTTTGGCTAGAGGGTTTTTTCATTTTTTGGGAGGAGGGTGCATGTGATCGGCACAAGGCCAGACAGAGGGTCAGGGATCATGAATCCTTATAAGGTCAGTCAGAGGAAAATGAAAACTTCTCCTACATGCTTTAACTATCAGCTGGACACTGATAGAAGTCACAAGACTGCTCTAACTGCTGATGAGAAAAGGTATTTGGCAGTTTATGTTTACTAAAATAATTCCATTTCCATGTTCTGTGTACTGTGGGAGACTAGATATAGTAAATGCAGGGTCTGGGGAAACCAGATATAGTGAATGCAGGGTCCGGGGAGACCGGATATAGTGAATGCAGGGTCCGGGGAGACCAGATATAGTGAATGCAGGGTCCGGGGAGACCAGATATAGTGAATGCAGGGTCTGGGGAGACTAGATATAGTGAATGCAGGGTCTGGGGAAACCAGATATAGTGAATGGGGGGTCCGGGGAAACCAGATATAGTGAATACAGGGTCCGGGGAGACCAGATATAGAGAATGCAGGGTCCGGGGAGACCAGATATAGTGAATGCGGGGTTCGGGGAGACCAGATATAGTGAATGCAGGGTCCTGGGAGACCAGATATAGTGAATGCAGGGTCCGGGGAGACCAGATATAGTGAATGCAGGGTCCGGGGAGACCAGATATAGTGAATGCGGGCTCCGGGGAGACCAGATATAGTGAATGCAGGGTCTGGGGAGACCAGATATAGTGAATGCAGGGTCCTGGGTTTAGTGACACTTTAAAGGATATCTAAACCCAAGAACAAAAAAGTAATATATTGAAAATACCAGTCTTTAGACATGGTGGTTGCATTCGTTTTCTTCTTTTAAAGGCTACAACTACAGAGAATCCTTGTTGATCCTGCCTGGCTTGTGCACTACAAAGCAATGTCCCTCTATGTAATGGAGATGATGGGAGGGGGAGGTATTTGTAATCCAAGTCAGGATAGCAGCCTAGAGTGATAATGCTTCTCCCCACAGATGCAATGAGTGTTGTCACCGTGGGACAGGACGTATGTTACTAGAAGAGTTACCAGGTGAAAATAAAGGAAAAAAGAAAATATTACAGCCACCACATCTAAGGACTAGTAGTCAGCAATCTATTCCAACCAGCATAAGTAGCCAATCAGTTCATGTACTGCCAAGTAACATGCTGGTAGGAGGAGAATACAGAGAGACAGAGAGATAAGCTACACATAGTGCTCACTGCAACCTGAGAAGAAAAATATATTTGAAATATATTTTAAAAATATTCTTCCCAAATAGAAATACTACAATTTTGGCCATATTCAATATATTTCAAAATATATTTCAATTCATATATATATATATATATATATATATATATATATATATATATATATATATACTGAATGTTGAAATGCGTTTTTATTACAAAATATATGAAAAATATTTTTAAAAATACATTTCAAATATACTGTATGTCTTTAAAAATACAAATGCAGTGTATATATATATATATATATATATATATATATATATATATATACTGCATGTTGAAATGTGTTTTTTAGATATTACACAATATATAACAAATATTTTTTGAATTTTTTTTTTTTAAATATATTCTTCAGATATTTTTGTACATATAAAAAAGTAATTTTAACATTTATTTTACATATATTTGTAAACGCATTCCAAAAATGTAGATTTGTATTTTTAAATACATACAGTATATTTGAAATGCATTTTTAAAAATATTTTTCATATTTTGTAATAAAAACGCATTTCAACATACAGTACATATATATATTGAAATATATTTTACAATATATTGAATATGGCCAAATTGTAGTATTTCAAATATATGGCAATATATTTGGGAAGAATGTTTAAAAAATATATATTTCAAATATATTTTTCTTCCATATGGGAGGCAATGCAATGGAATGAACGTCACTCTCCCAGACAGCCCACGTGAGATGATTGTAAGGAATGGCCTCAGCCTGTGCTTCTCCTCAAAACATGCCACCTGATGCATTTTGCCCCACCCACCAGGGGCTAGATAGAGGTGCTTCTATGAGTAAGCCCCAGTGGGGAGAATGGTATGTTTTGCTGAGAAGGCAGTTCCTTACTATCATCTCATGTGGGCTGGCTGGTTGAGCTGAGTTCACTCTATTGCATAGCCTAATCATAGTGCTGCTTCTCTTTCACTGTCCAGGCACAGACTGTGGGAGGGTACATGACAGCCTTAGAGGAAGTGAGTTGAATGATGCTGGCTGTCATTAAATCCAGAACACCAAGTACATCTTGTGGCAGAAAGGAAGTACTGCAAGTGACTGCTTCAGGTAAAAGGTGATTATTGTAGCAAAAGCTGCTTTTTTGTGCTTTAATGGGCTAATAATTGGTTCTTTTTTTGAGGAGTTCTACTTTAAATAAGAGTGAATTTTTAACTTCATAGCTTCATTGTCTTCTGGAGAACGTTAGTTGCTTACTGATTAATTCCACCTGTTGCCTGAAAAATGCACTATTTTCCCTAACAGGGAGAGGAACCATTAAAATATATTCCCCTTATTAAGAATATGGTGATGATTTACCTTACCTGGCGAAGATTTTAAAATAATTTCTAGGTAAGATATTAAGCTGGCTCGCAATATTACCACTAAAAGATTGAAAGTCATCTGATCCTGCCATATACATTACTGTAAAAGCATTCCTGCACTTTTAAATTCCAGCATTGAAGTACTTTCTTTTCTAAAATTGCAAAAATATGTTTTCATTGATGAACTATACAGTGATTTTTCCACAGATCCCCACTTCTCTAAAATTTTATTAATAGATTTTTAAGCAATGTGATGGTAAAACGGTCAAGGAGTAATATGTTAAATAACTTTTCCAATTAGCCTCCAGATTTTTAAACAATCTGTAAATGGAATATATCTGCTTTCATGAAATAAAGATCATGTTGGAGATGGTGGATTAAGCACTCAGATTTGCCCAGTTCTTGATTGCAGTATTAATCATGCTTATAAAGATAACTACTTCAGCATATTTGGCACGTTCTGTACAACACTCCAAGGGAAGCTCCAGCCAAGCATATAAGTACACAGTTGAATTACATACAGTATTACAGACTATTTTACCTGCTGACGGATGTGTAAAGTAAATATGTGGCCTTGTAATGTGCTTGCCCTGGCTGTGCTGTGTAGCAGCAAAGTATGAGGAGGTGAAACGCGTCTTCAGAACTTTGGCAACTCTATTGACTGCTAGCAAACAGTAGAGAGGAAGAGGAAGGGGTTACTGCTACTCCCATCCAGTCCAGGAAACCATACAACCTGATGCATTTTGCCCAGCCCACAGGGGCTTAGTCATAGGTTCTATGGGTGGTTTCACCCCCAGCGGGTGGGGCAAAATGCATAAGGGTGTGGCAGGGGTGGACTGACAACTCATGGGGCCCCCGGGCAATAGGGGATCATGGGGCCCCTGTGTCCTTGCCCACACTCAAAAAAGCCTATGAAAAAGGTATCAGGGGCATCTCATGGGGCCCCCTACTAACCCCGGGCCCTCGGGCAGTGCCCGAGTTTCCAAATGGTCAGCCCGCCCCTGGGGTGTGGTTTGGTGGAGAGTAGGCTGGTTGGGAGTAGTGTCGATTTACATTTATTAGCCCTCTGGATTGGTATTAGGACAAGCCTACACCCCATATTCTGAGTCCCAGGATATGCGTTCACCTCTACTTTGAGTGGTGTCAAAAGCAGTTGAACAGCTCGCTGCTAGCAAACAGTACTACATAGAAACAAACCTGGAGCTGAAGACAGAGGCAAAAGTGTAAGGTTTGAATGACAGGGTTTGGAGGGGCCAGGAGTTAATAGCTAGTATAGAAATAGTGTTGAGAGGTCAAAGTTGGTTAACCACTTCCAGCCCCCCCCATAGTCAAATGACGGCAGGACATTCACCATTTCATGATATATGATTTTCTCCCAGAACGCGCCTCGCGGAAGCCCCACGGGCCATGCTGCAACAAGATCTGTCACCCACTGTGTCCATTGGAAAATTCCTTTTAAGAAAAAAAAATATTTTGTACAGGAAGCCAGGGAAGGGCCCTGTATGGAAAGTGGATGACAAAAAGCAGTTGGAGTACTTAGGAATTCTCGCCCATACAGGGTAAGGGGTTTAAAGGCTATCTGCTTAAGAGGGAAAACTGACTTTCCAAGGATGATTAAGTCCTGATATGGGAATTGGAATCCAGAGGCTCAAAGAGATTTTGGGTTGAAAAGAGGTTCTAACCCTGACTACAGGTACTTTGTTCCTGAAAAGGTTACCCACCTGTGAGAGAGGGCTGAAAAGGACAGGATGCAGCCAGCAGGTGTTCATGAGTGGTGGTGTTTAGCAGGGCATGTTTGTGAGAAAGAGATGTTTGGGATACTGAGACACTGGTGAGCTGTGATGACCGTTTCTTTGGATTCTTGGAGCAGGTGGGGACTTTAAACCCTGTTATGGGGCAAAGTTATTCTGGTGGTGAGTCAAAGGTTTGCTATATACCAGAGGTTTGTTTTGTGTTGAAAAAATAAACTGTTATTGTTAACCTTTTTGAAAAATAAAGACTGCTAGCTTTTACCAACAAGGCTGGCTATATATACAGTATATATATATATATATGGGGTGTTCAAGCCAAACCAGGACCTTTGAGTTTATATAATAAAATAACACATTTCAAGCAGTGGAAAGTGCATTTATTTTTCTACCTACTCCCCTGCTACATTTATACACTTATCCCAGCATTTAACTAATGCCTGGAAAGCCTGAACCATCCTAAGACAGACTGCTTCACTTTGTCATCATTGTGCTCACTGTTCCCAAAGAAAGATTAGTCTCTTGTGCAGTTTCATGACAGGTTATGTGCTGATTATCCAGGATCAGGCATTACACACACTGAATGTTCACAGGAATGACTGCTGTGGGCTCGGAAACCACCAAACTGCCAGACATATGGCCATCTTTGAAACGTTTACACCATTCACATGTCTTACTATGGCTGAGCATCTCATCACTGTACTGTGCTTGCAGTCTTCTGTAGATATCCGCAGGTTTTACGCCTTCGTTCACAAGAAGCTTCATCACCACACACTGTTCCATGCACGCACTAACACTGTTGTCTGCCGTCTTGATTACTGGTCTCTGGACTGGCTCGCGACATGTGCACTGCCTATCAGTAATAGGACGCACTTGCCACTTACTACTGTGTGTAGTACCACCACGCTAGCTACCCTTTTCATATCTGTAAAATTAAAAATCCCAGTTTGACTTGAACACCATATACAGTTGTGTTCGCAATAATAGCAGTGTGTTGGAAAAAGTGAATAAAGCTCAAAATCCTTCTAATAGCTTTTATTTCCATACACACAAATGCATTGGGAACACGACACATTCTATTCCAAATCAAAACATGAAGAAAAATATATCAAATTTGTGTTGTTCCTCTAAACAAAAATGAAGATAAGTGAATATTAGACTGTTCAAAAAAATAGCAGTGTTTGTATTCTTCTTTACAAACTCAAACATTCATTATATAAACTGAAAAATGTTTGAAGATTTTACTTTCCTTTGAATCACTTAATGAATATTTATTTGTAGTCGCACTGTTTCTGAGAACTGCTGTACATCTGTGTTGCATGGAGTCACCCAACTTCTGGCCCCTGTGAACAGGTATTCCAGCCCAGGATGATTGGACTACATTCCACAGTTCTTCTCTATTTCTTGGTTTTGCC